GAGCACCATTCCCACCCTGCACCGCCTCACATCCTTGCCTTGGCCCCACTTACAAGGAATGCCCTTTAGTGGCCTTAAGCTAAAAGAAGGTGCTTTTTCTTACTACAGCTGTCCAAACTTAATCCTGGTAGTCCAGACCCACCCAGACGTCCAACTCTTATTTATATCTGCCCTCTACTCACAGGATGATTCCAAAACTATACTAACTTTCCTAGCTATGAAACAATACCTTCCGAAAACTAATGAGACCAGCTACCCCTCAGGACCAGGGGATCACGTCCATAGAGGACTTGATCATGTCCCACTCTGCCCCAAGAGAAGAGAGAGGGACAGACGCAGGCTCACCAAGAAACAAGTTCACAGATAAAGTTTTAAAAGAAAAGACAAAGATACGAATACACTTTATAGGTTTAGTCTAGACAGAGACCAGCCAGTCTCAGGCGGCTCAAGAGCAAACTATGGGATCCTAGATTAACTAATAATATTAACAATTATATCTCTCTATATATCTCTCTATATAAACTGTTACTATCACTGTTGTTGCCATTATTATAAAGATAAAAATTACAACTAAGACCCATGAAACCCTGGAAGGTCTGGAAGTTATACATATGATAGACTAAATAAGGGTTGTTGAATTTTATATAAAAATTTTGGAATTAGGGCAAGCAGTTTTCAAATGGGTGGAGCAGAGAAGGGAAATGCAGTATGGATTCGGTGGAACAGAATTCAGACCAGTAAGCTGGTGTGAGTGACTCTTAACTGGGGGATTTAGGAAGTTGGGTATGAACACAACTGAAAATGGGCCATTTTCAAACTCTGTGATTTTCATCTCATATTGGCTTGAGACAACCAAGGCAATGACTCAAAGGAGTGACTGGCTCAAAGTGAATCAATTTTTGCCTGTTTGTTTCTGATAGATTCCTATCAATCACATTATGGATCTGATGCTCTAAATAAGAAAGCAGCAGCATTTTAGAAGGTCTATCCTGACAGAACCAGGATACAACAGATCATATCCCAGGTGTTCGGGGTCCTTAGGCTGGTGTATTTTTTCTAAAAAATCTCAGTGGTTTGATGTTGATAAATTGTTTCTACATCAAAAGAATAATAAAACAATTTCTGGTTACGCAAGCTTTTTACAACCTACCATTTATAGAAGTTCAACAACTTTGCAGGAACATTTCGGTAAGTGTCGACAACATCCACAAAAACAATATCCTTGTAGAAGCTGCTTTCCTCCTTGAGCAAGGCATCTTCCTTGTGGAGATGACTTATATGATCAATAAGTCTTCGAGGACGAGAATGAAGGTTTTGTAAGAGAGCATCACCTTCTAAGAAGGAAAAGTTGAGAGCTGGAGAAAAACGCTATTGCAAACTCAAGACCCTGACCTGTACCATAATGTATGCTGATACTCTGTTGCCAAGGTAACCTAACAGGAA